GCCTCAGCCTCTCAAGTAGTTGGGACCACAGGTGCACCCCACTATACCTGGCCAATTTTTTTTTTAAGTTTTTCATTTTGTAGAGAAGGGGTCTGACTTGTTGCCCAGGCTGGTCTGAAACTCCTGGCCTTAAGTAGTCCTCCCACCTCAGCCTCCCAAAGCGCTGGGATTACAGGTGTGAGCCACTGCGATCAGCCCTATATCTAAGATTTTTAAAGCTAGTTATGGAAAATACTTTCATTGATCTTCTTACTGTCTGATCATGTGGTGTGGAATTTTCCCCTTGGCTAACAGGAGGTATTACCTGAGTAGAGCAGCAAAGCAGTTCTTTTTCTTCTGTGTCCCAGACCAGAATTAGTTCTTTTGCTTACTATGAAAAAGCTATGTTTCCTGGGCAGCTGCCAAAGATGGCGGAGGTGCAGGTCCTGGTGCTCAACGGTCGAGGCCATCTCCTGGGCTGCCTGGCAGCAGTCGTGGCTAAGCAGGTACTGCTGGGCCAGAAGATGGTGGTCGTGTACTGGAGGGCATCAACATTTCTGGCAATTTCTATAGAAACAAGTTGAAGTACCTACCTTTCCTCTGCAAGAGGATGAACACCAACCCTTCCAGAGGCCCCTACCACTTCCAAGCCCCCACCACTTCCAGGCCCCCAGCCACATCTTCTGGTGGACCATAGCAGCCATGCTTTCCCACCAGACCAAGCGAGGCCAGGCTGCCCTGGACCGCCTCAAGGTGTTTGACCACATCCCATCACCCTGCAACAAGAAAAAGCGGATGGTGGATCCCGCTGCCCTCAAGATTGTACATCTGAAGTCTACAAGAAAGTTTGCCTATCTGGGGTGCCTGGCTCATGAGGTTGGCTGGAAGTACCAGGCAGTGACAGGCACCCTGGAGGAGAAGAGGAAGGAGAAAGCCAAGATCCACTACCTGAAGAAGAAACAGCTCATGAGGCTACAGACAGGCCGAGAAGAATGTGGAGAAGAAAACTGGCAAATACGCAGAAGTCAAGACCCACGGACTCCTGGTCTGAGCCGAATAAAAACTTAATTCCTCAAAAACAAGAAAAAGAAAAAAGTTATGTGTTAGCTTTTAGTAGTAAATATGATAAATCTCCCATGTTTAGGAACCATGGTCTAGACTCCACGATCTCTCAAAGGTTATTTCATATAATCCACATTTCGACCCAATGAAGTAGGTTGTTACAAATCTCTTCTTTTTATAGATGAGAAAACAAACCTTTGTGAGAGTAAGCTCGTAGCCTTTAGGTGATAGAGTTCAGTGTCTAGACTTTCTAGACAAGGGGGTGTGGGGCCGGCTGGGGCTTTGATTACAAAGAACCTAAAAGAGGCAGATTGTGTCCTGTTATCATAGAATATTTTGACGTAAAATATAAACCTGGTATGGTGCAAACTGCACATTTCCGTTGGTTCCCACAGCTGGAAGCCTTACAGCTTCTCCTTAAACAGGAACCCATTGCTCGTTTCCCTGTTGTTTAGGGCCTCAGCCCCAAAAGCGGTGATGTCTAAATGCCATTATTAAAGGATCTGTGAAATAAGATATGGCATATTAATGTGATATGAGATACTTTTCAGCCATTAAAAAGAATATCTGTCTAGATATATGGAAAAAGTACCATGAAATAAGCAAATTGCAGAAGTACTGTTTCTTGGTTTGAAAGAAGTATGGGCTTGAAATGTGTATTTTTCTTTAAATTGTATTTATTTTAAAAATTTTAATGAGATATAGCTTATATGGAGTGATAGTTACAGATTTTTTTTTTTTCTTTTTTTTTTTTTTTTTTTTTGAGATGGAGTCTTGCTCTGTCACCCAGGCTGGAGTGCCTGGTGTGATCTTGGCCCACTGCAACATCTGCCTCCCAGGTTCAAGTGATCCTCCCACCTCAGCCTCCCAAGTAGCTGGGACCACAGACGTGCACCACTACGCCCGACTAATTTTTTTGTATTTTTCTTAGAGATGGGGTTTCACCATGTTAGCGAGGCTGTTCTCTAACTCCTGATCTCAAGTGAGGTCACTTGGCCTCCCAGGGTGCCGGGATTACAGGCATGAGCTACCGCCCCCAGCAGTATTTACAGTCTTAAATATACAGTGGAGTTCACATCTGGAATAATATACCCCAAACTTTTAAGAATATTTACCTCTAGGGAATAAAATTAGCATAAGAAGATCTTTCACTTTTTGCTTCATTTGAATTTTTGGAATAATCATGTTTTATATAAATAAGTATATATCTGTGTGAATATGTGTGTATGTATGCATATATATTTTTTGTTTATTTTAAAGAAAAGATTAGATGCACACATTTACACTCATGTTCAACTTGAGAAGCTTCCCGGGGATCTCAGATCCACCCCATCTTCTATCGTGGAATCTTCCATCTGAATAGGAGAATTTCCCTGGGAAATTTTACTTTAACAGCTGAAGATTTGGGGAGCCAGAAGTGACTGAGAGATGCCAAGGCCACTCTCTTGTTATTTCTTACCAGACTGTGCATCCTGGTAAGAAATGTTGGGATGTTGGACTGAGCATCCTGTTTTAGGCCCCCACGCTCCTTATCAACCCCCAGCAATTCCTTGTCAGGAAAAAGAATAAGCATCCCTGAGATTCTCTCCAAGTCTCTGGGCACCAGAAACACCTCTTTCTTTCTTTTTTTTAAATTGCATTTTAGGTTTTGGGGTACATGTGAAGAACATGCACGATAGTTGCATAGGTACACATGAGGCAGTGTGATTTGCTGCCTTCCTCCCCTTCACCTTTATCTGGCATTTCTCCCCATGCTATCTCTCCCCAACTCCCCACCCTCCACTGTCCCTCCCCTATTCCCCCCAACAGACCCCAGTGTGTAGTGCTCCCCTCCCTGTGTCCCTGTGTTCTCATTGTTCAACACCTGCCTATGAGTGAGAACATGCGGTATTTCATTTTCTGTTCTTGTGTCAGTTTGCTGAGAATGATGTTCTCCAGGTTCATCCATGTCCCTACACAGGACACGAACTCATCATTTTTGATTGCTGCATCATATTCCGTGGTGTATATGTGCCACATTTTCCCTGTTCAGTCAATCATCGATGGGCATTTGGGTTGATTCCAGGTCTTTGCTATTGTAAACAGTGCTGCAGTGAACATTCGTATGCATGTGTCCTTACAGTAGTAGCACAATTTATAGTCCTTTGGATGTATACCCAGTAATGGGATTGCTGGGTCCTCTTTATTTATTTTAGTACATTTGTGAATGCGTGTATATTAAGCATTCTCAGTTTTCAAAATAACAAGCTCAAAAGAACAAAAATAACATGTATTTATTTTGTTGCCCGTAACATATAGTGAGGCATATCAGCTGTCACAGGCAGATAATAATTATGAATTGACAATTTATATAATTAGGTGGGGCACAGTGGCTCACGCCTGTAATCCCAGCACTTTGGGAGGCTGAGACAGCAGGATTTCTTGAGGCCAAGTGTTCAAGGCCAGCCTGGGCAACAGTGAGAATGAGACCCTATCTCTAAAAAGTAGCTGGATGTGGTGGCGTGTGCCTTAGTTCCAGCTATTCAAGAGGCTGAGGCAAGAGGATTGCTTGAACCCAGGAATTGAAGGCTGCAGGGAGTTATGATCACGCTACTACACTCCAGCGTGGGTGACAGAATGAGACCCTGTCTCTAAAAAAAAAAAAAAAAAAAAAAATTTACACAATTGAATACTGAATTTCTTGGACAGTGTTGTCACTTTCCTAATCCCCCACGCCTTCTGTCAACACTTCTGTGCACCCTCTCTTACTTTCAGAGTCAGTTACTTCATCTGCACTTGTTTACCCATAAAAACTGTATTGATATTGAGAGGTGTGTGGGATGGATATTGGAGAGAGGCTAAAGGAGGGTGTGTTTTCTCATCAGTGGTTTCATTATCACCAGAACCCTCAGCCTGTGGTAGATAAAGCTGGGAGGGAGTGTGTTAGCATTCCAGGCTCAGGGTGGGGTAGGTAAGTGGGAGTAATCAGGGCTCTGGCTGTTCCCTCTGGTTTGAGACCGGAGGCATCGCCTCAGGGCTCCCCATGCCAAAGTCTTAGGACTCTAGTGATCATCTTTGGGTCCTTCTGCTGCCTCCCTTTAACCTTTTCAGCTTTCACTGGTTTAAATCATATCCTAGGCCAGACAGCAGAAACTGTGCCTCCTTTCAGTGGGTGTGCTCGTAATAGGAACACTGACAGAGGAACAAAGCTGTTAGATTCCATAGTTTCTGACTTTTGTCCACCCATATTTCTCCCTTTTTTTGAGACAGAGTCTTGCTCTGTCACCTAGGCTGGAGTGCAGTGGCATGATTTCATCTCACTGCAGCCTCTGCTTCCTGGGTTCACATGATTCTCCTGCCTCAGCCTCCCAAGTAGCTGGGCCTACAGGCACACACCATCACGCCCAGCTAATTTTACTATTTTTTGGTAGAGACCATGTTGGCCAGGCTGGTCTTGAACTCCTGACCTCAAGCAATCTGCCCACCTCAGTCTCCATATTTATTTTTAATTATGTAATAAAAAGACTTAATTCTGAGGTACTCTCACATAAGAAAGCTGCACATCTTAAGCAAAGAGAGCCTTCCCTTTCCAAGGGAAAAGAAGGAATTTTTATTGCCAACTTTGTGTTACATACTGTGTCTCCAGCATTATCACCCCTAACCCTTGCAGCTACCCTTTGGGACTGGTGTTGTCATCACCTCTGTTTCACTGCTGAGATCACGGGAAGCCTTCGAGAGGAGGCTGAGCCAGAGCTGTCTGGCTCTAGCGCCTGTGCCATTCCACCCACATTGGCTTGCAACTTGGCCCTGACTACTGATGATAAGCTTGCGAGATAATATCTGTGAAGTACCTAGCTTGGTGCCTGGCACATACTTAGAAAATGTTTCTCCCAACAGCCTCACCCATCCTCAGCACCTCCCACCCTCCTGTTAGAAGCATAGCCTCCACCAATAATTTCTTCTCCAACTGTTTTTAACAGGACCTCGGACAGTGGTCCATCCTAAAGCACGTATTATTGCGGAAGCCGGGCCAATAGTGATTGGTGAAGGGAACCTGATAGAAGAACAGGCCCTTATCATAAATGCGTGAGTAAGACTCTTAGACATACTGTGAACCAAGTACCATGGGTAATGTTTTTTGTTAATTTCAGCTGTCTGTAAGAATATTTTCAACTGATATCCGGAAGGCCTACTATTTTAGAGCTAGAGAAACATTAAGGGTCTCGTTTGTAAGTAAATGACCAAACTGAAAACCCGATGGGGGAAAAGGCTTGTCCAAGATGAGAGAGCTGAGTAGCTGCCTAGAATCTCTGACGCTGGGTCTGATCGTCTTCCCCTTACATGTGGCTTTCTCACCCTTTCCTCAAGCAAACATTTCCTGAGCACTTCCACCTCCAAGTGCTGCGCTCACCACCCTGCAGAGAGGTTTCTTTGGGATTGGTTCTGACCAAAATGTTATTACTCATGCCTTAAACACATCAATTTAACTCTAATATATATCTTCAAATGTTTTGCACCCAGAATTATAGTTGAAAAATGTAGAGTCCTAGAGGCAATTTTTAAACTATAAAGATTAAAAAATAAGAAAATACTAGAACATATACATGATCATAGTGAACTAGACTATAATAACCTATGAATTTTTCATAAGCATTTATAAGTTCTTTCTAGATAAAATTTTGGCAAGAAATTCAAGCTTATACCTAATTTATAGCAACCACATATGGAATTTGTAAGAAAGACCTTGGGAAAATATCTAAGTGTCAGAAAAAGAGTGATTTAATGCTTACTTAGGATTTAAAATACATTTGGCACCTTCAGTGTAAGTCAATTAACAGCAGCTATATTCTGCAGTAACTCAACTGTCAGAGATAAATCACCGTTTAAAAATGGCTTCCTCCTCTTAGAACACAAACATTTTATCTTCCAAATATTTCAACTAGCTAACTAAGAGCAAATAATTATTTTATGTGAATATCTGTTTATGTTTCACAATCTCAAATGATTATTAAGGATGGAAAATTTTCAAGTTAGGCATGATTTTTATTCTAATTAGCAGCCTAAAAATACAGCTAGCATCTTTCTTCCTTTGTCCTGGAGAAGACCCTCTGGACTTCGAATTTAAAAAATAAACTAAGGTAGTCTGTTCTTCTCTACATACCATGACTTTTTCACTTTTTAGTAGCTCTCTTCAATTCAAAATCAAGCCTTCTCTAGCATACAGGATGAATGAATCACTTGAATTAAGAAATAATTTACATAGGCTGGGCTCAGCGGCTCACGCCTGTAATCCCAGCACTTTGGAAGGCCCTTGTGGGTGGATCACCTGAGGTCAGAAGTTAGAGACCAGCCTGGGCAACATGGGGAAACCCCATCTCTACAAAAAGACAAAAATTAGCCAGGCTTGGTGGCACATGCCTGTAGTCCCAGCTACTCAGGAAGCTAAGGCAGGAGAATTGCTTGAACCTGGGAGACAGAGTTTGCAGTAAGCCAAGATGGTGCCACTGTACCAGCCTGGGTGGTAGAGTGAGATTAAAGAAAGAAGTAACTTACATAGTCATATCTTTGAGGCTTGACGTAGGTAAAATTGAAAGAATTAACCCAAATTTGAAATGGGAAGAAAATTGCTTATTGTGTGATTGCCTTTTTGGATGATTTGTCTCTTCCTTTTACAGTTACCCGGATAATATCACTCCTGACACTGAAGATCCAGAACCAAAACCTATGATCATTGGCACCAATAATGTGTTTGAAGTTGGCTGTTGTATCCTTTACAATAATCTACCATAAATAATTCCTGGCTATCCTTTAGTACCTAAGTCTTCTCCTGTAGAAATTGTCAAATTATCATAATTTGTCTATCAAATATACTTACATTCATAATATATATTATAATTACATTTTTAAAAGTAGGTCGGCCAGGCCAGGTGCAGTGGCTCATGCCTGTAATTCCAGCACATTGGAAGTCTGAAGCAGGCTTCACTTGAGGGCAGGAATTCAAGACCAGCCTGGCCAACATGGTAAAACTCCATCTCTACTAAAAAAAAAAATTACAAAAAATTAGCTGGGCACGGTGGCATACGTCTGTAATTCCAGCTACTCAGGAGGCTGAGGCAAGAGAATCACTTGAACTTGGGAGGCAGAGGTTGCAGTAAGCCGAAATTGTGCCACTGCATTCCAACCTGGGTGACAGAGTGAGACTCCATCTAAAAATAAATAAATAAATATGAATATAAATAAATAAATAAAAGCAGATCATCCAGCTCTTTGAACAGACTTATTGACAGTATGTATTTTTTAAATGGTCCTTTCTGTTCCTGTAAATAACTCAATAGAGTAAAGTATGCTATTTTTAGACAAACGCAGACACATATCTTTAGCTCAGCATTTTGAAAGTAACCACTTCTTTTGCTGGTTCTACAGCTTGTTGACAGGTAGCAATTGCTGAGTGACAGCAATGCTGACTTCTTTCTTGATTCAAGAGCCCCAGCTTTGTCAGTGTGGTTCCTGTATAGTTTTAGGTTAGATAATACATTGTCTGATTCAATAAAATGCTGTGTAGGGGTGAAAATATTCCATTATTTGTTTGTTGTCTTTTTTCCCCCCTGAATGTCTCCAGTTCTTTTGTTTGATTTAGTACTCTCAAAAGATAGTAAAATTTTATGGTGTCTGCAAAACATATAATATATAGTAGAAAATATTTCGAAGGAAAAATCTACATGGTCAGCAATAGAAAGATATTTTAAAAATTGAGCTACAATCATAAAACCACTAGGACCATTAAGTAGTCATTTTAAATTATATTTTTAAAGATTTTACTTTACCTTTTTTGAGACAGGATCTTGCTCTGTCACCCAGGCTGCCTGCTATGCAGTGGCACCATCATAGCTTACCGCAGCCTCATCTCCCAGACTCAAGCAGCCCTCCCATCTCAGCCTCCCAAGTAGCTGGGATTATAGGTGCATACTGCTATGCCCAGCTAGTTTTATTTTTGGTAGAGATGGTGTCTCACTGTGTTGCCCAGGCTGGTGTTGAGTGCCACCCTGCCTGGCCTAAAGATTTTAATAGCATGGACTAATGCTTGAAAATTCAAGTGAACTGAATAATCTATGAAAGTTTATACAGTTTGATTCCCACTTACATACAGGAAATTCTATATGTTTATATAAAGATATATCAAACTTTTAACAGTGTTTAAGTGACTGGGTGATGGATAGTTTTAATTATCTTGAAATAATTGTGAAAATATTTTACTCATAAATCAGGGTATAAGGTACTTGTTTCTTTGAAAAACACACGTCATTTATTTATACCTAGAGATATTTGTTTAAAGATTAAACCCTTACCACAGATTGCCCAGAGCAAAGAGTTCTGGCAAGGGTGAGCCTGCATGGCCCATCTGACGTCCCTGTCCTCTGTCCCAGTGCAGTATAAGGACATACTACGTTAGTAGGGACTACAGATGAACATATTTATAGTATTTCCCTAACTCTGGCTTTACAGATTCCCAAGCCATGAAGATGGGAGATAATAATGTCATCGAATCGAAAGGTAAGCTACGTTCAGAGTTTTGTCGTCAAAGCAGTGACCTCTTTTCTCTCCATGGTGTCCTGGGAAGCAACCTAATATAAACTGATAAGGTGGTGTGCTTCGAAGTGGCCTGCAATCGCTGGCAAACGAATTCTTTGCCACTAAGGAACCTAATCTGATTATGTGGTTATCTGGTAATGTGGTTAAATATATTACATTTAAAATCAGCTGTGTACATTTAAGGGTTGAATTAAACCATAACGTTTAAATGAAAGATTTGGAAAATATTTCTACTAAATACTAGTCTCTGGAATTTTAGTTGGTTAGAGTCGTTGTAGAATTAAAGGGGGAAAAAAATTAGAGTTTCTCTAGTTGCTTTCTTTAGTTTCAGGAATACTTTACCCTAGCCAATCAGAAACAAGTATCATGTGCTCGTGAGTGGGACCAGACAGGAGATTACATAAAGTCACTGTCACTACTGGGAAGCCACTTCAAGAGCTTGTCCGACTAAGGTCCAGAAAGAATCTGAATGATGACACTTCTTTAGAATAGTGGGTTATATTTCTTGATCCTGAGTGGCATGAAAGAAAATGCTTTTTTAAATAATACAATTATACTTTTTGTTAATCTACTTAATGGCTTTTATTTTAATTTGGATCATCAGTTATTATCACTACTATCATTATTGGCATTTTTAATTGTGTGCTTGCTGTGTATCAAACCTGTGGTCAGCACTTTACATCTGTTATCTCATTATTCCTTCAACTGTGAAGTAGAGTGGCCTCTTGTTTTACAGATAAACGTGAGCTTAGAGACTTTGCAGTGACTTTCCCAAGGTCACACAGATGGCAGCAGAGCTCCATTTTGAATCCATCTGACCTGGCATGTATTGCCTGTCTCTGTGTTGTCCATACAATCTCCAAACAGAAGTATTTTCTTTAACTTTTTTCTTAAGGCCAGTTTACACTTTTTTTTTTTTTTTTTTGAGTCGTAGTTTCGCTCTTGTTACCCAGGCTGGAGTGCAATGGCGCAATCTCGGCTCACCGCAACCTCCGCCTCCTGGGTTCAGGCAATTCTCCTCCCTCAGCCTCCTGAGTAGCTGGGATTACAGGCACGCGCCACCATGCCCAGCTAATTTTTGTATTTTTAGTAGAGATGGGGTTTCACCTTGTTGACCAGGATGGTCTCGATCTCTTGATCTCGTGATCCACCCGCCTCGGCCTCCCAAAGTGCTGGGATTACAGGCGTGAGCCACCGCGCCCGGCTAGTTTACACTTTTATACCTAAATCATCTTAGGAAAGAAAGGTGTTGTTATCATTTATGTCTTAAGTTGCAATTCTTTCTGTGTTTTTATTGCAGCATATGTAGGCAGAAATGTAATATTAACAAGTGGCTGCATCATTGGGGCTTGTTGCAACCTAAATACTTTTGAAGTCATCCCTGAGAATACAGTGATCTATGGTGCAGACTGCCTTCGTCGGGTGCAGACTGAGCGACCACAGGTACTAGAACCTCTCTTTACAAAGAGTTCTATCTGCTGATTTTCCCAAAAAGGAATGTAATTGTCTTCATGAGGCAGCAGGTATGCTATTTAAGAAGAATGTAATTAAAATAAAACAAAGAGGCCAGGCTCAGCGACTCATGCCTACAATCCTAGCACTTTGGGAGGCCAAGGCAAGAGGATGACTTGAGGCCAGGAATTTAAGACCAGCCTGGGCGACATAGTGAGACTCTCTCTACAAAAACTAGAAAAACTTAGCCAGGTGTGGTGGAGCACGACTATAGTCCCAGCTACTGAGGAGGCTGAGGTGGGAAGATAACACTTGAGTGTGAGGTTACTATGAGCCATGATCATGCCACTGTACTCCAGCCTAAGCAACAGAGACCCCAACTCAAAAAAATAAATAAATAAAAATAAAACAGCGAGAAACATCCCGAAAACCAGGATTTAATTGCAGTTCAATTATTCAGTCTTTAAGTTAATATCAAAACTATGTAAAAGGATGTTGATGACAAGTCAGCTATGAGAAAAGGTCCAGAAATGTTACTCTTGATCTTGTGTGTTGTCACTGACAATGCATCAACAAACTGTACAAGCCATACTGATTTACTCCTAAAATATCAGTCTTTAAGGGTAAGGAATGACCATACTACATTTATGCTGTGCCTCTGACTAGAGTGCGTCTATTTAGTTTATTGCCATAGCTTCATAATAAACACAGCTTGTGAATAAGCAAGTGTGTTTGGATATTTTTCTGGCTTGAGAAATTATCTCCTCCTAAAAACCCAGATCAAGAATAATGTAGAATACATATTTGGAGTTTAATATTAGAGTAGGAGATGAAAAAAATAGGACGTTTGGGCTTCCTTTGGACGTAAGACATTTGTATTGCAGTTTCGAGCCTCATTGCTGGGCACATTCAATATATATTCCCTTAGTTACCTCGTCTCCTTTTCCTTCCACTAAATAGTTTCAAGCACTGTGGGAGGCCAAGGCGGGATCACTTGAGCCCAGGAAGGAGTTCAAGACCAGCCTGGGCAACATGGTGAGACTCCATCTCTACAAAGAATAAAAAATAATGAGTTGAGCATGGTGGCATTCGCCTGTAGTCCCAGCTACTTGAGAGGCTGAGGTGGAAGGATGGCTTGAGCCCAGGAGGTTAGGACTGCAGTAAGCTCTGTTTGTATAACTGCACTCCAGCCTGGGTGACAGAGTGAGATCTGTCTCAAAAAGAGAAAAAAAAAAAAAAAAAGAATAATTTCAAGACATTTATAACTTTGCCTCTGATTCTTAGCCATATTTTATCAGAAATCAAAACTCCAGTTATTTCTGGGTTACTCTACTTCTGTAATGTTTGGCTTCATTATTATTATTATAAGCAAGTATTACTCTATAGACTAAAAAGGAAATAGGGATAAATCAAGTCATTTTTTACCGTCTTTCTACATAACAGCAAAAATGAAGACTGGGAAACGAAGTTGGTGTGGGCAAGGGAGTTTAGAATTAAGTGAGCAAGAATATCTGAAATTTAATATTTCATAATATACAATATTGTCTTCCAAATTTCACTGATCATAAGGATTATATAGAGGTCTTTATTAAAAATAACGATTCCCCAGACTTATTGAGTCACTGTGCTGGGGCGGGAGCCTAAAAATCCATATTTTTCACAAGTACCACGGTGAGTTTTACAATCAGGAAAATTTGGGCAATACTGGTATATGAAGAGTGAAGATTAGACAGGTATATCCAAGTACACCGCAGCTGTGTGGCTCTGTAGGTCATGTGGAAAACAAAATACTCTGGGTGTTTTACTTATGTGGTCTTCTGTAATTGGAACTTTTAACTTTGCAGAAGCCAGGATGAAATCTACAAAAGCGACTTTGAAAACTGATTTCTGTATGTTTTTATATAAATATATAAAGTCTGTTGGCTTTTTCTTGTGACCAAACTTAGTATGTGTTCATTGTAAATTAAAAAAAAACAGGTAGGCAAAAATGAGTCAATGAAAGTCACCTATAATTCCACAACTTATTAATAACCATTGCTACCTGGACCTTTTTTTTTTTTCTTTTTTTTTTTTTTTTTTTTTTTTGAGACTCTGGCTCTGTCACCCAAGCTGGAGTGCAGTGGTGCAATCATGGCTCACTGCAGCCTCAACCTCCTGGGCTCTAACAATCCACCCCCAACCCCCACTACCCTGTTTCCACCCCAGCCTCCCAAGTAGCTATGACTGCAGGGGCATGTCACCACACACAGCTAATTTTTTAATTTTTTGTAGTGGCGGGATCTCCCTATGTTGCTCAGGCTGGTCTGGAACTCCTGGGCTCAAATCATCCTCCTGTCTGGGCCTCCCAGTGTTGAGATTACAGGCATGAGCCAGCACGCCTGGTCCCTGTGTGGTACTCTTGACTTTGCTTTCTGCCAGTCAGTCTTAATTATCTTATCTTTTTAGCCCCAGACACTACAGCTGGATTTCTTGATGAAAATCTTGCCAAATTACCACCACCTAAAGAAGACTATGAAAGGAAGCTCAACTCCAGTAAAGAACTAAGAACAGCAGATGACATGAAGATAACATTTTTGTCTTTGACCACTGTCTTTTGAATGGGCCACAGTGTTTATGTACTCTTAGCAACTCACAGGATAATACATGTTGACTTTATTTTGTAAAATTGGGTTGAGAGGAAAGTAATGGATTTTCATTGTAACTGTCCTTTATAATTTATATAAAATGTATTATTTTCCTATATCCTTGCTTCTTTTCTGATACTTTACAGTTTAGCTTTTCTTTTGTTATATAAACTGCTAGCCACAAATTTTAGTTATGTAAAAGACTACCCATGACAAGAAAGGACATATTGTTATGTATTTATATTCTAGCATAGACTAAACTAAAGAAAAATGCTGATAACCATCTTTAATGAGCATACTTTAATCAGTTTTTCTACTTGAATTAATCTTTTAATTTTTATTATGTGCTAGTTGTATTAAAGCTAATGTGTTTAACTTTTCCTTTTGTGGATTTGTAGCTGTTTAAAATTTCAGGTGAAATTTTAGTAGCTATTGAATTAATTTAGACTTCACTTTGTTTTTAAGAAAAACACAGTTTTTTCTTTTTGGTAAAACAAAAATAATCAGGGAAAGATGTCCTCGGTAGAATACAAATTAGTGTCATTCTTGGGCTTCTAAGGACAATGAAACTAAAAGAGATTTTGAAATTTATATAAATTCATTAAATTATTAATATTTTAGCATAGCAATAATCACTAATCATTGAACTTTATTATTCTGTTTATCTAATTATGTAGTGAGCAAAACGTTGAGAATTTTATTATTTCAAAATTTTTTAATAATTTAAGTGTATACATTTACTGGAACATACTTCTCAGCTTTTGAATTAGTAGATACTGACTAATACTAAATTACTAAAACACTAAGATATTTTCTCAAAATTTAATTTTAATTTATTTATTTTAGAGACAAGGATGTCACTCTGTTACCCAGACTGGAGTGCAGTGGCACAATCTTGGCTCACATGGATCACTTAACCTCCTCAAGCTCAAGTGATCCTCCCACCTCAACCTCTTAAGTAGCTCAGACTACAGGCATAAGCCACCATGCCTGGCTTTTTAATTTTTTTTAACTTTTTGTGGAGACAGGATCTTGCTATGTTGCCCAGGCTGGTCTCAAACTCCTGGCTCAAAATGTAATTTTTAATTGTGAATAGAGAAAAATGTATTTTTGAATTTCTGAAACTGCAAATTAGCCTAATTGTTTGAAATTGAAATGCTTTTGGTAAGAATACTCATGACTAAACTTGGAAAACTATACTGTAGTGGATGAAACATTGAGCTTTTGAGAAAGGAGAACATAAATGCCCTATATCTGTTAACTGCTGTTTATTCATTTTTCAACCCCTGGTGATCAGTTCAGAATGTTGTTGTTCATGGAAATGTTCTAGATAAGAGAAATCAGAAATTACAAGACAGTCTTTGAAATTCTATACTAGTTCTAATGTATTCTCTCCGACACATTGTGATGTGCTAAATCAATGGCCTCTCCAAACTACACAGGTAGTATGTGGGGCAACAGTGAGACACCTTCTAAGGACTCGATAAGAAGAAATCACCAGAGTCAACACATAGTGAGGAGAGTCTCAGTGCTTCCCAGGTATGCTGTGGGTTATTAAATTATATTAAAGAACCGAAATTATCAACTCACCAAAACAGGGTTTGAAGAAACAAAATATGACAGTGTGTAGACAGTGTTATCCATGAAAAGGAAGTCCTGAATCCAAGAGTTGTAATTCAGTGACCAGAAATGTTCTCTACTTCAGTTAGGACATTTTATCAAGACCCCAGGTATGTGGCTTACGGAGAACATATCTTGAGACTTGCCACTTCTTTTGTCACTGATTACAAGCCTAACTGAACCATCTTCTGATTGTTAATATGGCCTTTAAACTATTTTGTTCAGGAAAAGGGAGAATTCTGCATGAGGACACCAAAATTTCATTCTGCACATAGTAAATTTAGAGAAATTCTCTGGTTTATACATCAGTATCATGTGAATTTAATTTGTGTGGTTCTGCTCCCAAGTTTGTCAGTTTAGTCTATGAGTTTCTGAATATTCTGATGAAACGTAGTTTCTGACTCTTCAGGATAGAGAACCAAAGCCCAGACATATTATTGCAAACTTCACTTTTTGGGGCTTCTGCAGAGCCACGCTGTCAGCCTTCTCCTGGTGGCACTCTATCTCACTTGAGACTATACTCAAACTGCATCCCAAATAGTCTAGACATTTAAGCTAGTTGGGTAGGACAACCCGGACATGCTTGTGACATGAGATAGTAACTGGGCAGGGAAAAGAGAACCCATTTTAACAAATCGTCATATTGAAATCTGGCACTTGCTCTTCAGTCAAAATGATGATCTTCACCAGTTGAATAGTGTCAGGTCTAGAAACAGTGCTGAAATCACTTCATCCATAAGCACACACTGTAGTACTTACATATGCTGTGTAACAAATTACCCTCAAAACTAAAACACACATCTTGTCATCTCACTCAGTTTCTGAGAATTAAGAATCTGTATGTGGCTTAGCAGCTACTGGGGCTACAGTAGCCATTTCCAAGATGGCGCACTCACATGGTTGTTTCCAGGAGGCCTCAGTTCATCATCACATGAGCCACTCTACAAAGCTTCCTGGGTGTTCTCTGGACATGGCAGCTGGCTTCCTCCAGATGAGTGATCTAAGAGGGGATAAAAGCCACAGTGCCTTTCGTGACCTGGTCTCTGAAGTTGCACACCATCATTTCCACTGAATTTGATTTATTAGAAGTGAGTCACTAAATCCATTCTCCAAACTGGGATGGCCCCATGATCCTTTAGGTTCAATAATTCTTTAGAATGACTCAGAGAACTCAGGGAAGTGTGTATTTACTACTGCAGATGTATTACAGGGGAACAACTCAGAAACACCAAAAAGAAGAGACGCCGAGGCCATGGGATGGGATGGGAATGGCACAGGGTTTCCATTCCTTCTCTGAGCGCATCAGCCTTCTGGCACCGCACCAGCCTGGAAGGTTTCCAAATCTAACTGTTCAGGAGTTTTTATGATCCAGTCTGCAGCCCCCTAACCTCCCCGGAGTTTGTGGGTTAGGGTTGAAAGTTCTGATCCTCTAGTCATATGTTCTCGTTAGCATACAAAAGACTGTAAATTCTGGCCGGGCATGGTGGCTCCTGCCTGCAATCCCGGCACTTTGGGAGGTTGAGATGGGCAGATAACTTCAAGTTATCTTGTCATCAGGTTATCTTCTCAACCTCAGGTCAGAAATTCAAGACCAGCCTGGCCAACATGGTGAAATCCCCATCTCTACTAAAAATACAAAAATTAGCCAGGTGTGGTGATGCACACCTGTAATCCCAGCTACCTGGGAGGCTGAAGCAGAATTGCTTGAACCCAGGAGGTAGAGGTTGGTTGCAGTGACCCAAGATGGCACCACTGCACTCCAGCCTGGGAGCAAGACTCAAAAAAGCCAGTAAATTCAGAGGGTTCAAGAAGCTCTGTGCCAGGAACCACGGACAAAGACCAAATATTTTTTATTTTGCCACACCTATCTTCTTAGATTACTTTCCCCTAAATAAACATACATTTCATTAAGCATCAGTTTAACTTGTTGAGGCTTAACAGGAATTATTACTAACAGAAACCTTGAGGGTTAAGAATATTGAGTGGGAGAATGTTGAAACAATACAAGAACTATTCTTAACCCTAAAATATATACTTCGTCAAGTCTGGCTTTTTAAAAAATTGCATTTATTAAGCTTGCATAGAGCTGACTACATACCAAGCACTGTTGAAAGCAGTTTACATGTAACTCATTAATTGCACATTACACTCTTTAACTGTCTTAATCAAGGAGATAATATTACTGTCCTTATTTTGCAGAACTGGAAATTGAGGCACAGAGAGGTTAAGTAACTGCTGAAGGTCCACTCAGCCAGTAAGTGGCATTTTGGCTCCAGAGTTCATGATCTTAAGCGTATTCTCTGTTGCATTATTAGACTAAACCTTTTAAGATAAATATACTGTAATTCAGTGGGCTTCCTAAATGCAAATGAGAAAAACAGATGTGGATTCACCTTTCTTAAAGCCGTTGCCCCTCTTTAAGTTCTTAATCTGCATGACACTGAAAGAGTCCAGGGGATATCACCCCCAAATATGGCACCTTGGTACGCTGATTACTTTATTTTGAGGGTACATGGGAATCAGCAGATGCTGGAAGAAGCTTTTCTCTGAGGTTTCCTTATCTACCTAAAGATCTGCCAAAAGAGAACACAACTGCCTTCTATCCCCTCCCTTGTTTTTCATCAACCAAGGAAGAGTAAACTCGTCACAGAAGAGACTGAGAGTCAGACACGACATCCAGAGCCCAGATGAACTTCATCCCACACCACTGTCTGTGCTTTGTCTCCATTCACCTCCCCTAAAAACCATTTACTCTTCCTCTAAAATTTGCCTACATCCCCCACTTCTCTCTCCCCTATGAAGAAGGGAATACAGCTTCTAAATCTCATTGGGTATTGGGTACTCACTTTCTTGAGATACTTCTGCACATGTGTCAGAGGTGTTTGAACCAGAGGGACTCCATTTTGAGTAGAGGTTGGGTAAAATGAGGCTCAGACCTACTGGCCTGCATTCCCAGGAGGTTAAGGTATTCTAAGTCACAGGACGAGATAGGAGGTCAGCACAAGATAAAAGTCGAGAAGACCTTGCTGATAAAACAGCATGTGGTGAAGAAGCTGGCCAAAATCTGCTAAAACCAAGATGGCGGCCAAAGTGACCTCTGGTCGTCGTCACTGCTCCTTATACACTAATTATAATGCATTAGCATGCTAAAATACACTACCAGTGCCATGACAGTTTATAGATGCCGTGTCAACATCAGAAAATTACCTCATATGGTTTAAAAAGGGGAGGAACCTTCAGTTTTAAGAAGTGTCCACCCCTATCCCAGAAAACTCATGAATAATCCACCCCTTGTTTAGCACATAATCAAGAAATCCCATGCTGCTGCCCTGCCTATGGAGTAGCCATTCTTTTTTCCTTTTTATTCCTTTACTTTCTTCTTTTTTTTTTTTTTTGATATGGAGTTAGTCTGTTGCCCAGGCTGGAGTGCAGTGGCAAGATCTCAGCTCACTGCAACCTCTGCACCCCAGGTTCAAGTGATTCTCCTGCCTCAGCGTCTCAAGATTACAGGCACCTGCTGTTTGGAAAACTCTGCCCCTACCGCAAACGCTCTCTCTCTCTCTCTCTCCCTCCCCCACAAAGAGGCTCCCTTATCTCTCACTTTACATACCGGTCCTAGCCCTCCCGCCGCCCAGCTTCCCGCCGCCCAGCTTCCCACCCAGCAGTTCAAACTGACCAACAGTTGCCCACCACCTCGGCTTTTGGCTTCCCCACCCCCCAGCCCTTCAGCCCCCTATAAAACAACCCTGCCCCTCTGAGCAGCGCGGCCATTTTTCCTTTTCGTCCCGGCTGGCCTGCCCGGAGGCTCTTTCCTCTCAATAAAGCCTGAACTTAAGGAATTTCCTCTAGCCTGCGGTCCGGTTTCTTTCCCAATGAGCCCAGTCTTCCCGCAGAGGGTAGGTCGGACACCTGCCACCGCACCTGGCTCATTTTTGTGTTTTTAGTAGAGACGGGCCAGGCTGGTCTTGAACTCCTGACCTTGTTATCCACCTGCCTCCCAAAAGTCCTTTACTTTCTTAATAAACTTGCTTTCACTTTCCTCTATAGACTCACCATTAATTCTTTCTTGCGCGAGATCCAAGAAGCCTCTCTTGGGATCTGGATTGGGATTCCCTTTCCAGTAACACACGTACTAAATATGTGTGCCTTTTCTCCTCTTAATCTCTTTTCAGTTCATTTCATAGTCAGATTAATTGAAACTTCAGAGGGCTGAGGGAAAGTACTCTTCACCCCTACAAGGCAAAACAATAGGGAAATTTAAAAAGAGTTGTTTGATCTTCCCATTGAATTCAATAAGAATTACCCAAAGGGGGACCCAATGCTGGGGCTCCAGGTCATTTATGCAAAACTTTAAATTGGGTCTGCTTGGTTTTTTCTTTGTTTGTTTTTTTTAAAGAGACAGGGTCTTGCTCTCTTGCCCAGGCTGGAGTGCAGGTGGCACTGCAATCTCAAACACCTGGACTCAAGCAATCCTCCTGCCTTAGCCTCCTAAGACACTAGGACTACAGGCCTGTGCCATCACGCCCAGCTGAATCTTCCATATTTTTATAGAGGAGAGGGTCTTGCTATATGGCCCAGGCTGGTCTTGAATGCATGGCCTCAAGCAGTCCTTTTGTCTCAGCTTCCCAAAGTGCTGGGATTACAGGTGTGAGCCATTGTGCCCAGTCTGGGTCTGCTTGTTACAACTAATTAACTGTAGTGGTAATTTTTGGTGATGTTTTGGTCTGTATTTTTGTGTGTGTCTTATACTAG